TATAGACTGTCAGTATAGATGGTCAAAGTACAGTTCCAGCTGTCTCTCATTAGCTGGGGGGAACTTCCAAGAATTTCTCCTGGTTTGAAACAACATTTTATCTAATATTTCTAAGTTTAAGGTCAACCATGGCCACTTGCAAAGTCAAAGCAACTTGAAGTTGAATGGCATGTTTATAACAAATAGAAAGAGCAGATTTCGCACTATTCAGTTATATCCTGTAGAAACCTCTACCTATGTATGGATCTGTAGTATAAAATAGAAAATAAGCTTAATCCATTGTTCTCTTGAGGAGTATGTAATGTTTGGCAAGTGCTTCTCATGTTATATGTATTAGTTTGCTAAACAGTTAAGTTGCATTTAGGTTTTACATTTATATCTTAATTAATTATGTATTTATTTGTGTTTTAAAATGCATATTTGATATGTTTATGATTTCTATAAGTTTTAACTTGTTGTAGTTTGGCTTATCAAAATGTCTAAGCAAGATAGCGTCATTTGCGCGTGCGAGCATAACTGTTTGGAATTTGTGCACGAGACTCGCTCAGGCTCACCCTATAATAAACAATAATAAAAGACAAAGAACTGGAAAGGAAAATTAAAAATAAACTACAAGTGAAAAGATAAAGACCTGAAATTATGCATATGACAAAAATAAATATTTAAACTATTCGTCAAAAATCTAAAAGGTATGTACTTACTTTTATTTCTTAATTTTAAACATTTTATTGCACTGTACGTTGATGATGATATCTGGAATTAACGCTATAATAGAGAAAATTGGAAAACAAAATATAAACATTTACCTTAAAAGTCTGTTGATATTCATTTACGGGGTTCTTGAGATTATGTAAATGAAATGTGAAAACTGAGAGATAGAAATAGTATTTTTATACTCAAAACAAAAATCCCATTGCATGCAAACTATTCAGATTAAATGATGAATGTTTTATTATAAATAGTACATAAAATCAAAATTAAATATTTCATTTTTCTAAAAGTACATAATCTTAGGATGTTCAAGTCAAATTTAAAACTATTTGATCAACTAAGTTTCATTTTTATAAAGATCTTTCACGAAAGTTGCATACCATCTTACAATGTAAGTACATCACAGTCAAAGGGGTAAGAGCCATAGACATTCAGCATTCATAACCACCCACGATTTAATCATATTTTTCACATTAACCTAAAGAAATAACCACTTATTTTTAGGTCTGTAAATAAATATGCATTTCTTTTTAACTTTTGACTTGATTTCATTATTTGGATTATCAAAGTATTTATCTTATTCTCATCATATGAAGCTGAATAACTATTAAGAAGAAACTGGACAGAGGTAATAAATAAACTTTATCCTGCATTATAACCACTATCAATTAAAATCATCAAAATTAACCAGAATACTTTGGCCTAATTGACATTTATTCATTTTTATTACATGTATTTACCAAAAAGTGAATTTCTTTCTCATTTATCTGTTCTTGCTTTTAGACAAATTGTCATGTAACAGTTTCATTTATCTTTTTATATTCCCTCCTCTTGTTTAACATTTGAAATTGTGATAAGCAAAAATTCTTTCATTTATTAAATATTTTGTTTTATTTCTTCTATAGGGATAATCCTAGTCCAATCAGCCAAAAGGTACTTCCCACAAATAAGCCATTACCTTGCTTTACTATCATGTCTTCACATTTTTTCAAGACCAGCTGAGAAAAGATGTTTAAGTATGAATGAATTTTATTTTTAAATAAAAATGTTACTTATCATATGTATGAGCTTCTAACATAACTTACTGTAACATTTTTTAAATATAGTGGACTAGATTAAGCACAAATGTGTCAGTCAGGCTGGAACTTGAGGGCTTCTACTACAAGTAACTAGTTAATACTACTAAGTTTCACCTTCAGGCAGCAACTGCATTCAAAGTGATGGTTTTCTCTCTGACAACTATACATAGCTTTGTGCTTTATACAATGGATTTTTGCTACCTTCGACTACAAATTGCAAGTTTCATGTAACCATAACATGCAAAATGCATACCTATGATAAGACCCACTAGAATTTAACTCAAGTTCTCTAATTCATCCTAAATTAACACCTCCACTGAATTAGAAAAAAAAAGGTTGTTGCTATGTCAGAAATATTCCATTGTGATACAATTCTAAGAACTTATGAGTGAAAGTAAAGACAAATATGTATGTTATAATATGTCAACCATAGTACACGTGCTACACCCAGTACTACCCAGGCCTTTTGCTCAAAGACAAAGCTCATCAGACAGGCTAGAATATGAAAGACACAACACTAGTCTAGGTGCATTTATATTACCAACATCCATGAACAACAACAACTGTTAATGTGAACTAGACTAAGTAAGTGAATTATAATTACTGTCAATTTTATTTGCATCATCTACAAATCACATTTTTAGGGTACGGGTTAATAACACAATATTATTTATTTACTTTATTTCTAACACTGATTATTTATTTTTTATTCCTATTATTATATTCAAATTAACTTCACTATCAGAAGAACTGGCAAACCAGCAATGGTTTAGTTGCTAAGACTCCTCATCTGCAGAAGAATGGCCATTTATGAGCTGAATGGCTCTTGGTTATTTTTAGGCATTGTTATTGAATTTATCAAAATTTCTGTTATTTTGTCATTCAGTCGTTCTAAGGTAATTATGTTTAGCGTGTATAAAGAAAACTACATCTTGCTTAAAAAAGTTATAAAGTCATAAATATACTTAAAAAGCTGCTTGAAAGTCTTTAAAGCTGACCTGGGATTGTGGTAAAAGTCAAGTATAATCCTCTCTTTTATGCAGTGGTAAGATGCATTTGACTCTGTAGAACATAGTGCAATATTAAACGTTTTAACTACAATAGGCATGAATCTAACATACATACTCTGTAGAACATAGTGCAATATTAAACGTTTTAACTACAATAGGCATGAATCTAACATACATACTCTGTAGAACATAGTGCAATATTAAACATTTTAACTACAATAGGCATGAATCTAACATACATACTCTGTAGAACATAGTGCAATATTAAACGTTTTAACTACAATAGGCATGAATCTAACATATATACTCTGTAGAACATAGTGCAATATTAAACGTTTTAACTACAATAGGCATGAATCTAACATACATCAAATTTTAAGAGATATACACACAGACACAAAAGCAAAATTACATATTGATAAAGAGGTATCATCAGTGATAAAGATAGAGAAAGGGGTGAGACAGCAACTTTGTAAAAAGTATTCAGACAAACTGAGCTAGAGAATGAAGGTATAAAAATAGATGGTGAGACATTAACATATCTAAGGTTTGCAGATGATGTAGCTCTCTTTACAAATTCAACAAAAAATATGGAAGCCTTATTAAAGAGTTTGAACACCAGTAGCAAGAAAGCAGGGTTAAAAATACATAGGGGAAAACCAAATATATGACCAACTCTCATGATACAGATACCATCAAAATTGAGAATGAAGAAACAGAGAAAGTGTCAGAGTACAAATTTTAAGGCAAACCCTTAATATGGAAAACACAACAAGGAAATAAATTATGGTAAGAATGAAGGCAACATGGTGATCTTTTGGAATGTATAAAGAAATTCTAGAGGATCAAGATATTCCCATTACTTTGAAGAAAAAGATTATGGATCATTGTGTACTACCAACCTTAACGTATGGCTGCCAAACATGGGCACTAACAAAGAGATAAGGAAAAAAAAGATAGAAACCACACAAAGAGCTATGGAAAGAAAAATACTTCATATAACACTACGAGACAGATGGGGAAATGACAGAATAAGAAAAACAACAAATGTAATAGATGCAGTGAGGTTCATTCTAATAACTATATGGAAATAGGCTGGGCATGTAGCAAGGTATTCCAATAATAGGTGGACATTAAAAACAATAGAATGGTAACCTCGCACAGGGAAAAGATCTAAGGGAAGGCAAAAGAGAAGATGGAGGGATGATATAGTGGCGGAATCAGATGGACATGTTATGCTAAGAATAGGAAATACTAAATTGATTTGACAGAAAGCTACATACAAAGATGAATGACTGCAACTTAGAAAGATAGAAGATGACGAGTGGATACTATCACGAAGGAAGAATGCAAACAAACTTGTAAGAAGGTAAAAGTATTTTTTAATATAAAACACTACGTCACTCTATGACTTCACAATCTTTACATAACAGATAAGTAAAACCCCAGTCTGAATTAGGTAAAATCAGGTTTTCCTCCAAATGGTGTTTTCACTAAGAAGAAATACAACTAAAAGGAAAATCAGAGATAGTGGCACTCATCTAGAAACCTTCAAAGAAATTAAGACAGTTCAACTGATTCTGTGACAAGAAGCATCCAGTGTGGTGTGAAAAAGTAATAAAACTAAATGACATAGAAAAAGTGTTAGAAGGAACCAATTTATGTTGCAGAAAATAAATGTTGCAGTACAAGTTCACCACAGACACAACAGCAAGTTCACGTTAGAAATGCAAGGGCAAAAAATGTGAAGAGACAAGGAAGTAGAGATGGATATTAGCTTCTCTGTCACAGCAAATGCAAGCAACTAAAGTTAAATGGACTCAGATTTTCTCATTAGAGGATGTAAAATGATTTTTTTTTTATACTGTCACATGGAAGATTTTGCACATCAAACAAATGCACATAATAAGTGGGGGTGGGGCAGATCAACAACAACAAAGAAAAAGTAGATCAGTAAGTTCTTGTACTTTAATGTTATTGTTCACATTTCTACGAAAATTGATTTCCCAGTGTAATTTTTGTTTATAAGGAAAGAAAACTTGTCAGTAAATTGTTGACTAACAGTAAAGATTTTTGGGAAAAAAATCTTGGAAATATTTACATACCAAAATACATTTCTTGAGATATCCACACCAATCAGAAACTCCATGTTCCATTCTTTCCAAATCAGAAGCTTCAGAGCACTGGTTCAAATTTACATATTTTTTCTTCTAAAAATTTACTACATTTATCTTGATTTTCTGGCACCTGAAACACAGAAAACTTGGATGATGCAGAGATGGGGGAGATAAAGTGTTTCTTTTCACATATACTTTCTTTACTGTAAGTTTCAGGCCCTTAAAAAGGTAAAACAAAATATGTAGCATATAAATATTTTTGAAAGCAAGGTATTCTAGAATGTAATTGACAATAATTATGTTACATCGCCATCATAGACAAGAATTTCACCTTTCATCAGTGTTATGTATCACTAAATTCTTACAAAAACAACAAAATAATAGTTTCTGATAGGTTTTGAAATGTTTTCCAGTGGTAGACCCATAAACCCATTTTATTTATAGATTCTCAATAAGCTTAGCAACTAAAAATTCATCATAATAATTGGCTTTTATCCACTTCTAAATTCTAGTATTATCCACAAATAAACTGCAGAGATGATATCACTAAAGAGAATGCAATATTTAGCTTAACTGTTATCATTTTCTTTATTGCTAATAGATTAAAACAATGAACATGCCATCCTGTTCAAGAACTTTAATTTCCAAAATTACAAAATATACTTTTGAGGAATTTAAGAAATTTATAAACATTTTCACACCCAGAAGCAATACTGTCTCAATTTTACAGTCTATGATATGAAACACAAGTTACATTTTTTATCCTTTACTATTATGTAGGAAAATCTAGAAACCAAATATGCAATAAAGTAGGCATGAAGCAAGAAAAGCCCATGTTTAAAATTTTCATAAATAATGTAGCAATATAAAATACAATGTGTTATATGTGATGAGATTTTATATTTACACATTAAAAAATTAAATAAACATTCTACTTTTTTTGATAAAATAAAGGTATCTAAGAATTTTAGAAAAACAAAAATAGTATTATATTGTCTTTATCACTAATGTCTGTGTGAGTATCAGGGAACTCATCATTAATACTACCAGTGATCTTGGCTTTTAGAAACAAATACAGAAATAAAGATTAAGTAAAACTTTAGTGAGCAGTCTGGTAGTGTACGTAAAAAAAAAGTAAGAAGACACGTTTTCTTTACTAGAATAAAGAAAAGTGTCACTAATCAATTTGATGTGATATCGTTTTAAGCCTAATGTATTTTCTCACCCATTATTTGTCAATATAAGGTAAGATGATGTGATGGATGATGTTCAACAAGATCTATTTTTAGCATGAATTTCGAATTCCACCGAGTCTTGTGAAACCAAAGTTACAGTTATAAAATGTTGGAGTAAAATTTATCATTCTAACATATATTCTTATAAAATACCTAAACAGAATTTTAAGAATTGATTCCCCAAAGCATATTATTATAACTTATTTGAATGCTTAAAATATATCCTAAAACTGGTTGTACATATACTTTACACTAGATAACAGTAAAGAGCAAACACACACACACACAAATTATAGGTTACATGTACAAATGTAAAAAGCTTATTACATTTCAATTATACACGAGTTCCACTGAGAAGAGCCCAGCCAAATATATTACTGTCATACTGCGTATATTGCTATATATATATAGATATAAATCAAAGACAAATGTATGTGTAAACTTTCTTAAAATTCATTTTTTACCTGACAAAATCTCTGGAGACTGAATGACTGAACGAGCATAAATAAAAAGTTCTTCACAATCTTCCTCAACAAATAATTTTTTAACAGTTATGCTAAAACAAGTTATGCAATCGTCTTTGATACAGTTTCTATTCTATAAAATATTTTGTACAATCATAAAGAACTGCATTATTAAAACCAATTATATTCTTAATAATTTAAAATCATTATCACTAAAAACATATACTTAACATACTGTGGTAATACAATAAAAATTAATATTTTCTAATACATTAAAGCATCTTCATATGAATAAATAACTAACAAGTGCCATATCACAACTTATACAAGGGTATTTCATGTGTTAAGTCATTCATTCATACATATGCTCCTGCTTTACAAAAGGATTTGATTATTTAGGCAAATAAATAGCAGATGACTTTTAATTATAATAAACAGAACTTAATGCATGTGAGATATCATAATATGAAGGATGAGTATAATTTTGATTGGATTAACCTTAACAGTGTTATAGCAGAAAAAGATCTTGGTGCTGTGAATGATCAGTTTATTAAACCACCTAAAAAGTGTACTGTTGCTAGTGGTAGGGTAAATAGGGTTTTGCCACATTTGGAGTACTGTGTTCAGTCTTGGGCTTCTTAACTTAGGAAGGACATTGAACTGTTGAAAAGGGTTCAGAGTAGGGCTACTAAAATGATTCGTGGGAAGGAAAGGTTGTCATATGAGGACAGGTTAAGATTTCTGATATATTTTTTCTTAAAAATTGAACATTTAGAGGGGATATGATTCACGTGTTTATGATTGTTAAGGGAATTGATAGTATTGATGTGTCACCTTTTTTGAACTTAATGGTGAGAATGGTAGGATTAGAAGGGGGGACATATATATAAATTTTGGATGGGATGGCCTATATGGGCCAACAGGTCCCTTGTTGTCCTTAAATTTTATGTGTATACATAATTTAGTTAGCCCATCATCAACATAATGTCCCTTAGTATTTAAGTAGTAAGTGTAAAACATAAACATATCTAAAAATGTAAATCATATTCAAGAAATAAAAGTTTTAACCTCTTCCATTACATATTTTTTCATATGCTCAGGTTTACAATATGCTTATGAATATTCAGTTACATTCCTCTAGTTCACAAATAAACAAATACAGGTTTACATTACAGTTGAGGTAATACTACAAGCTAATTATATTTGTGACAAATTTTGGCTGAGTTAAACTTCATACATGTTTTAGAACATTATTTATATCAATGTAACTAAATATACCTTTAGATTACAACTTAAAATTAAACCAGAATACACAACATTTAAGACTATTGTTTTTGATTTTTGGTTATACAATGTTCATTCAGATGCCAAATGTATGCCTATTACAGAAATGTTGTACCAAATAAATCATGGGACATCAAGGAAGTGTTTGGCCTATGATAAATGTTCTAACTCTGAACATCTTTCACTTATCACTAATTCATCACTGATTCCCCAAATATTTATCAACCCTTTTTTTAAACTGCTGACAAGATGCAGCCCCAATCTCTTTAAATGGTAATATTTCCACAGAATTACTATATCCTATTGAAGATATAATTACCATGTTAGCCTATACTTCAGCCCTTGGTTCAAAGATCACCAATTTTGATTCTTTCTTAGCCTCACAAACACATTAATTACAACATAAATGCCCAAAGTGTTGGTTAATACAACATAAACTTCAAACAATAAAGGACCATTTGATCCTTCAAGACTGTCCTTGTACATCCACCCAGGGAAAAGTAAAAATTGAAGCCCACCCTTTCCCTTTCATGGAATCATTGATTCCCTTCTTAAACTCCTGTAAAGTACTATCCTTATCTACATCAACAGAAACTCAAATTCATAAGTCAGTCACCTTATTAGAAAAATAAAACTGTCTTCTGGTGCCTAGCCTGCCTTTTCCAAATCTTAAACTTGTGCCTTCTTATCCTATTATCTTCATAATAAAGCAAAAATAAATCAAAGACCATAATCCTGCCTATCCCCTAGATAACCTTATAATTTTCAATACGATTATCTCTTACCCTTCTTTTCTCAAGAGAAAATAAGAGACCTTAACCTATTCCTACAAGATAACCCTTTTGTATCCTTTATAGTAAGTCAATATCCTTTCTTAGATAATAAGACCAATACTGCACACTTTATTCCAAGTGACATCTAACTTGTAGAAAGAGAGATAATTACCATAAACATCTATAAATACATTCTAAAATTCTATTAGCTTTACTATAAGCAACTTTACACTGCTTCAGTAGCTTATCACTACTATGCCAAGATCCTTTTCTTCAGTCACATCTACATTAAACATTTGATCTAAATTATACTACAAATGTGTTACCCTGCACTTACTATAAATAAAGGTCATTTGTAAATATATGTCCAACTTACCAATCAATCCAAGCCATTCTGTAGTACTTCAAAACCCTAAATATAGCTAGAAATACTGAAAAGTTTAATGTTGTCAACTAACTTTACTAATTTACTGATTATTACCCACTCAATATAAGTATTGTACATATGAAAAAGCAACAGTCCACTAGTAGTAAAGTCCAGTTTGACTTGACTCCAATAATAACAACCTTTTTCCTTTTTTTCCCATCCAACATCTCTACAATGCAAAGTAATTAGTCATTCCCCAATCATTATTGATGTAGTGCTCTTTTTTGTGTTTTATTTTTAAATGCAATAATATTCTGCTTGAACAAGGTTTGAGCTCGAGACCTCAAGCTTGCACTAACATTCTGAGACTGGTGTTCTTCCAACTAAGGTATCAGGGTTACAAGTACCAGTATACTGTTTCTATCTTAATAGTAACAGTGACTCACCTTAACAAAAAATTTTTTTCTGAAAACTAAATACATCAAGTCCACACTCTCTCCTTTGTTCAGATACCTAATCCTCAAAAAAAAAGGAGTGGTTAGTAAGAAAAAAAAATCCCTTTGGTGCACCTATGTTGATTATCATTTATAACATCATATTTCACTAAATTATTTTGTAAGTATCCTTTTATAATGCTAAAATTTTTCACACAACAGAAGTAAAAACTAACTAGCCTATGATTTCCAGGATGACTCTTATCATCCCCCTTTAAAAGTTTGAGTTACATAAACAACACTCCAATCCACAGACATCTATTCACCTACTACAAATGAAAGAAAGAGGCTTGCATAATTGGTTTTTTTACTTCTCTTAAAATCCCACAGTAAACCTTTTATAGCCCTGGTGTTTTATCTACTTCCCACACTCAGTATTTCTACTTACAACCAAGGAAGTAATATCTGCATGATTCAGGTCAATTTCAATATTTCCTACAGAATGCTCATGGTCAGAAGTATTGATATAATTTTCTCTTGGAAATATAGATGAGACAATTTAAAAGCTCAGTCATCTCATACATAACCTTCCCATCAGAATCTTTTAATGGCCTCATCCCCACTCTAACATTTTCTTTACATTTAACATACTTTAAAAAATTCTTTATTTAATGTTGCCTAGACCTTCCTGTAATCTAGTCTTCACCACTTAATGGCTTGCAGCATCTATCTAAATTTATTGGCAAATCTATGCTATAATGAAACCACTGCCTTTATTGATATATTTCTTACTTAATACAAGTCACAATAATATGAAGCTTGTTAGTGTTAAAACATGCTATTGTTTATTGGCATAAAAACACTTTCTTCTCCTTAAGTAACAAACCTTTTTTACTCAAAGTATGTTGCAAGAGTGTACTGGAAGTTCAAAGACTGTATTGCCCTAAAACTCTCATTTTTTAAATTAACTATACTCAGTCAATATAAAAGTATATATATATATATGTGTGTGTGTATGTGTGTGTGTTATTGATGCATTTACATCCAAGCACTTAACCTTAATAGTAGTGGAAACATAAGTTTTCACATTACTTCAATAATACTTGTAAGTTGTAATAACAGTAACACGAGCAATAACACGTTACAACTTGTAAAAGTTAAAAAATTGCACTTCTAATGCAATACTGAATGAAAGAAAGAAGTGTTTTTTTATATCAATTGCACCATATCTTAATTCTACGTTATAACCCAAGTGTACAATCACTTGCCCATTACCATTTAGTGTAGGGATAAATGGGTACTTCCCAGTAATACTAGGCTCCAGCCGAACATTGGAGTTAAAAACAGCTGAATCTGGGTAATTGAAAATGGCATCTAAGCCTTGATCTTTGTGGCAACTTAAGCGGTACTGAAAGTTACTATCAATAATTGGTGTAGTTAAAAAAAAAAAACGTGTTCTGAGCAACAAAGACTGACCACCTGCTGAAAGTTGGGATTCAGAAAACAGTAAGGGTTAATAACAGGCATGGCTTGTGAAGTGACTTTCTAGGGAAGATGGTGGTTTTGATAACATGAGGGTTTGAGAAGTTGGGGCTAGGCATTCAAAGTAAAATTTGAATGTTCTGTTGGTGATTATATGGTTAAATGTAATAAACGTCAATTTTGTTTTTGTTTCTAATTTCTGTGTATGTTGTTATTTTGTGGGGGGCGAGAGGAGAACCCGGTCTTGGTTGACACCCGACCCCAGCCAAATTTTAGTGACCGGGTGCCCGGACCTAGTATTCAGCCAAATTTTACTACCCGTGCATCCCCAATTTAGTGATTTACACTGTGTGACACAAACTGTTCAGGTTGGCTGGAATACGACACATTTTACTTTTAAATTGTAGTGGTTGGGGCACATTATAAACTGATGAAACAAAAACTGTTTCAGTGTGGACAGGATAAGGTGGTGAAGTGTACTAATAAAAAGTAATATATTATTTCTGTAAACTGCTAGTACTAGTGTAAACAAGTTAAACAGTGTAACTAGTATAATTATAAATAACCTTCTGTGAGTTTCGGAAAAATTTCACGTTTGAATAGACTGTGAATTATATAAATACTACCTGTAGTCTATAGTATAGACACTATGCTACAATAATATTAACGTTGATTACAAAGCAAACAGCTTCCAAATAATACTAAAAACAAAACAAATTATACCACTTATATCCTTGCAATAAATTTAGGCTTACCCAAAATATTTTAAATTATCATCGCTATTCCCTCTCGTGTTGAGAAGTTTTATTCGCTTTAAATAGTTTGAGTTTTGAGCGTTTGTAACACACTCAGAATTTTCGTTATGCAAAGAAATTTTACAGGGCTTTTCGTCAAAAATAAAATACATATTTTATCTGTTTTGCGTTCCGTCAGTTTGGCATCCTCGGGAGTTCCAACTGTTTTTCAGCAAGTGGATATATCAAACCTTACGAAGTTACTGTATATATAAGTATAACGCCTTGGCTGCCAGAGGATGATCTTTTGACTGGTAGTTTACATTATATGACTTTGCTATAAGTCAGATAATAATTTTCATCACATTATTATCACTCTTACAGTTATATATATATTGTTACGTCTCCGTTTGTTGATTAACTTTCCGTAACTTCGTTCCGACGAAACTTTAGCGACACAAGTCTTTACTTAATAGAACTGGTTTATTCTTTCCGAATATAACTTTACTATACACTTAATTTCAACAATCGCGCTAAAACAAACGATATAACAACGAACGTGCTCAATAATACTCTCTGACTGCAGATCAATTACTTACTGTCTACACACACATTAATTCGTCACGTTGTCACCCTCTTATGTATATACCAGACTACCCTATATCTAGTAATCTCCCGACTATTCCCGAAGGTTCGAGAGAAGTAGCGTGGCATTAGTCACGTGACCTCGCTCACACAACACTGCCCCTCCTTAGTATTGTTCGTCCCGAACAATAGCCACTTAAAATAAACCAATAACAATTAACAATAACTTAATTTAATGTACAGAATTACAATCACAAAATTACAATTCAACAAAATCTCTTAATTTTACGGGACGTATCTTCTTCCCTACTGGTCTCCGTCTCGTTGGCTTCTGCTTCATATGGGGTTCATCTGCTTCATCAGGAAATGTTCTATCGTCGATAACAGGCACATCAGTGGTAGTAACTTCATAAAGAGCTTTACCGTTTCCCTTCTCAAAACTGAGTAGAGTTTCTTCTTCGACGGTGGCTTCTTCAGGTGGAACGTCTTCAGCAGCATCATTTGTTCTGTTGTAAAAGTGGTGCATGCCAACAGGCTTTGGCGTTATCACGGTCCAGGACATTTCAGTTGGGACGAAGTTGGGCTTACCTCGCCGACCACATTTTATCCGGAAAGTCACGTCTGAGAGACGATCCACTATATCATATGGGCCTTCCCATGGAGAAGACAACTTGGAGACTTCCCTTTGGTCTTCCTGGGATTATACAACCATACCTTGTCTCCTGGTACAAAGCTGACTTCAGCAGATCTCTTATCATAAGTTAACTTCATCGAATCAGCAGACATTTTCAAGTTTGTACGCACTTGATGGTGAATATCATCCATCCTTTCTGATAACACTTTCACAAACTGACACATTTTCAGGCAACTCTTCATAAGGTGGGCGTCCTGTTAACAGATCCACTGGCAACCGAAGTTCCCGACCAAACATCAATTTTGCTGGAGTGTATCCAGTGGTTTCATGCTCTGCTGTCCTATAGGCCATCAACAGTGGAGGAAGTAAGACACCCCAGTCATCTTGGCGGCTATTACAAAAACTTTGCAATTC